CGTCAAATTGGCATTCTCTTCTTCGACGTCGATACCTTTGCTCGTAGAATTTTGAGATTTCTCGTTCAGATGCATAACTTCAAAGAGCCTTAAATCTTCAACAAAGTCATCGGTGTAAACCTCGTTGACGAGATGTCGAAGGCGGCGGAACTGACTTTTATCGATGTAGTTCTTCTGAGACCTTAACCTAACTTCAACGGGATCTTCTTCCTCCACAACTTGCTCCTTCTCCCTCTCCATTCCCGCTATCTCAAGAAACTTATCCATAAATATCTCAAAAATTCCAGATTCAAAGGATTTCTCTTTTTGTCGCCCACGATCTTCAATCAACGTTTTTCTATATCCTACAATGAATACCGACCGAATCATAGTTAAGTAAAAGAAGATCAGAGTCACACAACACGAAAATAAAGCCACTGCTCGTACAACTGTATGTGAGGTTACAACCTCTTTGGTTCTAACCATTCGAGCCATGTATGAAATTGAGGTCTGCAGTGAACTGGAGAAGTCTTTGAAATTGTCGCTGTCGCCACTGAAAGCAATTGAGAACAGTGACGTGAATGCCATCATTAGACAGACGAACACCAACAGACACCCAAGCAGGTCATAAAAGCATCCCGCGATGGTGGTCAGGATGTGCTCCAAACAGCCGAGAAACTTTAAGAAAACCGAAAACCTCACAATGGCTATGAAATTGAGGAAAGCAAAAGCGTAGTCGGTTAACTCGTCGTAGAACCCACACTGGTAAAAGTCGAGGAACTGCTTTGGGTTTGCATTAAACTGATCAGTTGCTAGCTTTTTGAAGCCTTCTTTAAGAACTTTCAAGAACACGATTACAACGCCAGAGAACACAAAAATGAGGTCCAAAACTTTAGCAGGATCTTTGAAGTATCGGCACTTGTCGTGAAATATGGTAAGAACGACACGATATATCATGAAGACGAGCACAATGGCAGCGATAACTTCGCCAGTTATTCTAACAGCAGGGTGTTTCCTCAAAGAACCATACATGCTCACGGTGAAGGCCTCGAAACTTTTGAAGACGCCACCCAATGGTGGAAGCTCAAATGTAATCGTCACAGCCGCAACCATATTGATAGTGGGGTTATAGGCGACAAACTCGGCGTGAACCGCCCTGCTGCGACTGTCTAACCAGAATAAATTTTGTTGCTGATCTATATCTACACTCCTGTTCAGATTCATGACATAACCACCTCCACTGTAGGTTGAAAATTTCCCAATGACTGGCAGCACATGATAGGCCCCAAAGTTGCTAATGTGCTCCCAGGGCGAATGCACGTGGTCTGATTTCCTAGACGAGAATGAAAAGATATTCCCCTTGTCTGTATTTTCTGGTTTTTCTGTTGCATTTTCCCATCGTGGAGCATAAAACTTCGTGTCGTCTTTGCTCATTGAGTAGAATCCATTGCATTCACTAAAAATGTCTTTGAACCAAGTGTTGACTTCGCAGGTTCCTAAATAAGGTAATCAGAGAAGTAATGCAATGTCTGATTATGTATAGATTTTTCCATATTTTGAATTCCAGATCAAATTCGTTTCATTAAACTCAATTTAGAACTCTGCATCAAATATTAATTCTACGTTGCAATTATTTAAATGAGAAGATATATCAAACGCTCACAGGAGCCCATCACTCAATATTTAACCACATTTCGAAACACCTCGAAGTTCGTCATAAATACTCCGCTGCGCGTTGTATTTTGAACTCTCTTCTCGGCCTTTGGACATATGGTAAAACACGGTCTCTCGTATTTGCTATTTCACTTCATTAGAAAATTGAAGCCTCAGTTTAAGACTCAAAAAGGTTCAATTCGTGCCAAACTTAAAAACATTATGTGACTCCTTCGTGCAAACATTTTATATTTATTTTCTTTGCCCGTGCTATTATTATTTATTTTGACTGGATAATGACGATAAGGAAGCGTGGAAACTTCGCCGCTTCTTTTTAACAAAAAAGGTTTCAACTTTTTCAGTTTGACCGAATGGTTTATAGCAAGTAATTCTTATGGATGTATATTGCTAAGTAGAACCAACTTGACTGACACTAAAGCAATACTATGGCTACCCGTTGACGTTCTGATACACCAAATGGGAATTTTACCTTTCTGAACACGAACTTGCCGTAACCTAGCCACACCCAACTGCAGTGACATTCTGTCGGCAATGTACGGTTCACTTTGGAGACCATCGTACAGTGGCCCAGGGTGCAGGCCTGGTAGCAAGGTTCGTCTCGTCCAGTCCCAAATGGAACTGACGGTGTTCACCTGTTAATAAATAGACCCATCGTAAAAGATTATAAGGTTGTACCACGAAACACTAGATTTTGGAAGCTGGAACTGTGGAAGATTACCCTACTCTGATCTAGAGGTCGGAGATTCCAATCCCACTGAGATCGGAATGACGGCTCGCGTATGACACAGTTGCAAGGTACTGAATTGGAAGCGGCAGCTTGATACACTTTTAGCTATGTCTACGTGGTTGGAGATTGTAGACGAGTTTGGGAACCCGAGGTAAGAGAAATTTTGTGCTATAACTAAGTAAAGGTACTGAGAAAGTAAATTGTCCTGTCAACCAATACAATATAAAAAACAACAACCAGGCTGGTTACATTGAATCGGATGCATTAACATCTTGATTAATACTTTCGGTTTTTTGTCCTATAAGTGTAGGACGCGTACCTGGTCAAAGCGAACACGAGTACTGTTCTGGATTGGATCTACAAACACGCGCCGCAAAGTGTTTATCATCTTGTACGAAGCTGGGTTCCTGTACTGGAAACTTAAAATCATCACCATTGCCAACAGAATCACGTACACGGACAGATCTGTGAAGAGTTTGATGGTCTGACGTCTCCTAATCTCTCGAATCCGCAAGATTTTCAAGATTTTCTTACTGGGGGGATCGTACTGGGAGAGTTCGTCATTCGTCAAATCTTGTTCCACCTCGTTGGCGTCGTCTAGACAACAAATGTTCGTAAACCATAGTCAATACGTATACAAGACAAGCACAAGTACAAAACAAACACATTTATGGGTTTTCGTCTTGCGATGCTGCTGCTACTGGTGCAGTGAACATGCATTTTACCAAAGAGTAAACAAACTTAAACTATAAAGTAAATAGACCTCTTCTATAAAAAAATGTCCAGATTTTAAAGGGTCATGCATGTGAACGCCATGTCCTCGGATACAGTGCTCTTCACATTTTTCATGACGATAAAGCTTTTATTCGGTTTGCTTTTGATTCAAAAGTCTTGAGAAAAACTGTAATTAATTTGATATCTCATACTTTTTAAAAGCACCGCCTAAGACCAGGCTTCATATGGCTCTCGAATGTTTGCGATGTCGCCACCGCCCCCCGCATGAGACACCGCCCAGAAAACACCAATTGGTCAAGGTCGTTACTGTTAGTGTGTCTAGCGTCCCTGCAACATACTCGCAGTAAACAGTTTTGGGATCACCATCTGAAATATAGCTTGGGCAATCTCCGGGCCATGGAATCGCAGGCATTCCCAGGTTATGTGAGAAACAGCCGAAATTGTATCTCTCTTCAAAATTTTTGTACGTTATTCATCAGCACTCATTGGTACTCTTCACAGTCCTCGTGATATTTTCCAGTACAACAAACTCCCAAAAAAAACAGTTTAAAAAAGTGTGCAAACCTGTTGCAGCTGACAATTCTTCAAGATTGTCTTCATCAGACGACTTGCTGTATATTGCAAAGATTAAAGACACAATGAGAACTTTAAATGGCTGACTGATGAGAGTGTCATGGACAAACGAGATGGCCATTGTCGTGAGCCATATGTTCGACTGCTCTCTGCCCCACATCATGCTGTAAAATAGCGTAAACACCGCAGACAATAATGTAGTCAGGATGCACAATACCCAGCCTACGTACACGCACCAGTATGGAAAGCATGGGCCTTCTGATCGTCGAAACTTAGCGCCAATTCTTGCTAAAAAGCTTGGGTTTTGTGTTTCCATTAAAGCTTCATCCTCTGGGCTTTCGCTTTTAACAGTTGGTTCCCTTCCTTTAAGGTTTGTACTGTTTTCCTCTTGGCCATTTTCAACGTCTTCTTCACCATTGATGTTACAATGGATATCATTAAGATTTGTCTCCCAATCCTTGCTTTGTTCTAAACCTTCTGTACCACTATTGATAGAGTCAATCTCTTCATTTTGTTCTGACGTTTGAAACGTTGCATGGCCATTACAGCCTTGTTTCTTCCCAGCCCTCCTTTCTTTTGCTTTGGAGTTTCTGAACAAGGCAACTATCAAGACGTTAACAGGAACTACCACCAATGCACTCTCTATCCCAATTATAAGCATGCGCATGTTAATCTTGATGGGACCCATCTGGACAGACCCAGACGTATCTCCTGGTTGAGGGCCTGAACCGTAAAACATAGCCGTTGCGACCATGAATGAGAACAGCAGAGAGAGACAGCAGGAAAGTCTTTGGAGCCGTGTAAATGGACTTCTAGCAGGACGGTAGGCCACGGAGAACCACAGATGATTGTCGCAAATCTCCTTACGAATTTTTGTGTTAAACAATTTCTTGAAGGAAATCATGTCACTTTCAGTTGCAGGACGAAAAAATATATCCACTTTGCCATCTTCCTCTGCTACATCGAGCCAACGGCCTGCAGGAAAGGTAAATAAATAATTCAGTATCGTACAAGGCGGAGATTTCAACACATTTATTACGCTAAAAATGTAGAGTAAAAACCAGTCAAAATGACACTCCTTCGTGTTTCGTCTACATTCCATACAAAAGGACTCTTGTGTAATGGTAAATAGCATTCTTAGGAGCGAGTCTGGGAATAGGAATAATTCGGGACATTTTACCGGAATATACTCAAAGCAATACACAAAACAGCAACAGGAAAATGGTCTGCGTTCATTCCTACCAGCAAGGAAAATCCATTTTTCTCCGGTCTGAGAATCTCTTAGCATGGTTCTGTTCAAAAACCAGGATGGACTTTTGCCGCTGTTATCATGCCAAATCCTTACTCCACGAATGACTCCAAGGCTTTTTGGCAAAGAAATTATGAAAACGTTCAAATCCCCTCTTCTGAACAGCGGTCGAGTGGAGTCAAGCAAGTAGCATGGGCCACTATTCTCACTCTCACCAAAGATCTCACAGCCGACATGCGCAGTTGTTCCGGACCCGTTCCGACTTCCTGTCACAAAGTAGATCTCGTACAGGTAATTGCTGTTAGGTCGGTTGGCTGGAAGGATGGTAGCGCCGATCTAGAAGGTAAGCAACAAGAGAACAATAAAAATTAGCAATAAATCCCCGTCGCCACGAAGAACTTGATCGAGACTTTCTCGATCTTGTTAAGTTTTTCTTTACCTTCACACAGTTTTCACTTGCCTGAATCAAGATCGGATGAAGGGAGGGATAATTAATCCCCCATACAGGCCTAATTCCCTATTCCCTCTCAAAGTACTTTAGATCACTTTTGGTTTTGGAATTCGCTGGAGGGTCTGGAAAAATCTAATCCTTCGACGCAAATTTTGCTAACTTGGACAGCGCAAGATGCCTTACATCCTTCCTGAAAATGTTTACTCAACAAGCGTTTAATTTTAAGAGGATCCACCCAAGAACTGGGTAACTCCAACAGAAACCAGTTTCTTTGGCAAGGGATGCTTACTGAAAGGAGGGCACTACATCAAATCATTAAAATACGGAGGTAAACCTAGCAGTAGCCGTCTACTTTCTAACCTGCATGGCGTCTCTCTTGTCGGTTCTCCAAGTCCATACGGCCAGTAATGTGTATAATATTAATAGAGTTAAGATGGTGAACATCACTACCACGTTGCCACTTTGAAAAGCTGTCGCAAAGCCTAGCAACGCTTTGCTGAAGTCGATTGGATTTGGCGCCACAAACATTCCTGATCCAAAGGATGTAAGATGATTTGTCATGCAGTGGATTCGCTTTGGACTGGTTAATGGTCCAACCTACGAATGAAGTTTAGTGGTTTTAGGAAGAACAACAAAAAAGAGACATCATGAAGTGGGTATAACAACATAATCGTTAGAGATCCGCCAATAGAGCAGTTTGTCAACTAGCTAAAATGACTTATAACGAGGCCAAAAAGAACACACTTGTACTAAATGACTGCATGAATTGTTTCGTAAGCTCCACTCGCTGTTGGTGTGAATCTATATTCCACGCTAGAACCAGCTTAAATGCCTTATAGCAAGAGATTAGGATCATAATCTCTTACCTATACTGATGCTAAAAAAAACCCTATACTAACTATCCGTACGAGATCTTTCGTATGTTTGCTCTGGTCTGGTGTTGTGAAAATTCCGGGACAAAAGGTCTTTAAAGAGATCATAAAAAGATTTTCAACGGAAACCTAAATAGCAATGTTGCAAAAACATCGTCCTTCGCATGTTCGTCAGAGTTGGTTTAGTAAATCTGTGTTCGCCTAGTGCATTGGCGATGAACTGAGTGGAAAGTGAAAGAAGCGAAAAGCTATGAAAGAAACTCACGATACAGCCGTCCCCCATCCATGACTCCTTTCTTTCATTCCAGTACAGGCATTTTGATTTCAACACTCTAATTGAGTACCTCATCACGTCGGTCTCGTTGGAATTTCTTGTGTCCTGTTTCCCATTTGCGTACCATATTCCAATAAAGTAAGTGGATTCTCGCAATTTTGTATTTGATATGAAAAGAGTGTAAGCGGAGTGTTTTTCAAAGCACGTTGTGTAGTTTAAGCTCGGTCGATCTCCGCTAGAGGGCTCCGAGATAATCTTTTTCCAGGTAAATTTATCTTTAGTGGGATGTCTGTTCTCTCGCACGTAGAGGTGGAGTTTGTGACTGCACTTGAATGGTGTAACCTCGATGTTAACCGCTTCATCTTTGGAGGAAATGACAAGCTTGTGATACGCCCAAGTGTTTTCAGTGACGTTTAGACTGTATTTATGCGATTCTGGCAGGACATCTGGCCCCGGTAAGGAATATTCAATGTAGGTCTCGAGGTTCGAAACTGGAATTGCTTCTTCTTTTTCCTTGTCTTCGTACGATAAACTCACAACAGGGCTGTTGACGCCTTTAGAGGTTTCGTCGTAATTGTAGTAATTTCTCGGCATCGAAAACACCTGTGAATAGGGAAGATGCAAACGTTGGACTTTCTGCAGCAATAACGTGAATTTATTGCCCCACTGCTCTGTTGGATATTTGTGGGTGGTTGGTTTACATTCGTCTGAGGGTGCGCTTACAACAGAGGGTCTGGATAACAATAGCTACTCGCTAGCGACAGTAATTATTAACTCACCTTGCATTGTGTACAGACGGACAATTCTGCTCATTTCTGTACACCAATACACGAGTAAAATAGAGTAATTATTTCAAAGAATTTCATTTTTGTCCATGTTATAACTGATTTTTATCCGTGCCATCTTTGGTTATCGTCATTGAGTAATAATCTTCACTTACTAAGCTCACACCCAAAGTGTACCTTTTGATTGACTGATGTCAATCCTGGTTTTGCTTGACGGAACATATTGTTTCCACTTGGCAAATCAAAATTTGCGTATCCCACGTTCACTTTCCCTCCAGCATTAAAGGGCGTGGCACTCTTTAGGCTCATGGCAAGATGTGGAGTGGAGATCTCCGTGGAATCTTCAAATGGAATCTTTCTCCTAAGCACCGATGCTGCCAGGAAATTTAAGACACTGAATAACTTTTTCACCAACAGCTTACCCTGAAACATAAATGAACCATAGATTTATAAGGTATGTTAACAAGTTTACTTCATACCGAAATTAAGATCTTTCAATCACTTTCAAGGGACCAGACTTATAACACCATCGACTGACTAACACTATTCACTTGGCTATGAAAATGACTTCCGCTCAGGTTGTGGAAACGTCAGTCACCACCAACAGTTCTTTTCAGACCTACCCTCACCCGGACGATCACACAAGATGAACTGTTAAGGACTGTTCTGTTGTATCCCACCTTAGACTGATTTCTATCAATTTCCACTGAGCTTAATAAATAAAATTATATCTTGATGATATAACGTCTATAAATGTGAATTCATTTTCGAGAAACACTCGCTCACTCACTCTCTGTCGCTTAGTTTCTTGTTCAATAATCTGTGATGATGTCATGTTCGTGCTGTTAGGCTGATTGATAGCTGCATTGTCAGAAGCGGGGCCAAGTAAATTTCCAATTGTTCCGCAAACATTAGCAGCAGCTGCATCCGCTGAATCGGAGTCAGTCTCCTGCGATTCACGGTCAAGTACAGCAGCCATGCTGGACAGGGCCAAGGTACCTGCTTCCTGGAAAACGATAAAGGTTGCTCATGTGGTAGAAGTTTACTTAAGGAAACTCAAAACTCTTATTGCAAGATCTGATCCTGATGGTGGTCACTTAGTGGAGTG